AGATTATGTGGGTCTGCCATTTGTGGTACAGAATAAAAAAGTCAAAAAAATTATATTTTGTACCCTGAAAAATTTTAAAAAACGTAATGTATTAAAAATATTATAATGTAATTTTTTCATTAATTTTTATTGCTTAATCCATTAAAATTCACACCATTTATATATCTGAATGAGCAACGAACACTCACGAAAAAGTATTANATAGACCCATATAAGAATCCGGGTCCCACAAAGAATATAGATAGTGGTAAAGCTTACATGTAGATGAATCTCTTTGATGCAGACAAGCATTCAGCACAGAGTCAAGAATGTAGGGCCATGTGGTTCTTATTATTCGATTATTCCACCCATTAAAAATCATCCATGTATTACCACGTCATCAACTTTCTTCACAAAAGTATATGCCACGTCGGACTATGGGGGCCCATGTAGATTATGCGGGTCTGCCATTTGTGGTACAGAATAAAAAAGGTCAAAAGAATTATATTTTGTACCCTGAAAAATTTTAAAAAACGTAATGTATTAAAAATATTATAATATAATTTTTTCATTAATTTTTGTTGCTTAATCCATCAAAATTCACACCATTTATATATCTGAATGAGCAACGAACACTCACGAAAAAGTATTATTATAATCTTTTTAATATATTAAGGGTATAATTTAAAAATATAATTTTTAAAAATATAAAATTATATTTGTTAAAATATTTTAGGGTATAAAGTATAATTCAACCGAGAGAATATGCTCCGGTCACGCGTGGAATTATTCTAAGTGGATATTCGAATATGCTTTTTCCTACGTCTCCGCCCATAATTTTCTTAATTATTAATTCGTTAATGCTGCCGGCTTGTTTATTTACAATAGTACCCCTTTGTACTAAACTGAACGTTTACCGAATTGACCCTTTCGGCCATACTCCTTTTGTTCTCCAATTATTGCAACCTCTAAGAGTGGAGGTAAACCAACGCTTGATATTCAGACCTAATAGTGTAATTTAATATTTTTGAATTAATAAGGTATCAACTGATACAATTTAAATTAAAAGTTTAATAGTTAGGACGGGACATCAGGTCGTTCACCAATAGGAAACAAACACGTGAACAATCACAACTGTTAGAATATACATAGTATGTTTGAAAGACGCACCGAAGAATTATGTCATATGGGGCCGAGTACGCCCCTTAGAACCTAGTATTAAATAGTATTTGACAACTCATTAATGTGGGCCTTGAGTGGTTTGACAGAGCAATTAATGAGTGTCCAAATTCTCGAAGAATGTAGAGACAATCATCATTAGGATACATTAATTACTATCATGTCCACGTGAAGACCTCGGGGCAGCCCGAGGACTGTCTATTCCTCTTCATGAAAGCTCGGGCATAAATTTTAAACGTCGATATTAGGTATTTAATGACTGGAGATTGGCCCATGAATGCTCGACGGTTCCCGAGTGATGGTCCAATTGTTTGGGAGGATTAGTCTTAATGAGACTTGTTAGAATAACACTCATTACGTTGAAAGATAAACACATGCCATTAAACGATAAGATAAGACTCAAGGACATGACCATCATTGCAAACTACCCTTTGAAAAGTCAAACTAAGGTATGCAATCTCAAATGAAGAATACACTATGCATCATGTCTTATATGTCGATTGACTTGAACTTTGCAGGGGATTAGTTGGGTACACATCTTGCCCCTTTCCTAATAGTTTGGTTGTTTCAGGTTCATCACTCTGGATCATTTGACAGGTCGTGATCTCAACTTATTGCAGGAATCCACTCGTTTAGTTGGACTTATGATTGTCAACACTTTGTGCATTCACCCCTAACCCTTCTAGCCATTAACAATTGAGAAAGGGATGAAAGAGAAGGAAATAATTGTAAAACAAATGATAAGGATCAACTATACTTAGAGAAACGGATGTTCGATGTCTATCCTTGGCGAAGAACTATTCGGGAGATAGAGTGGCCTAATAGAAAGGATCGTCCAAAGAGTCTTAAAGCCATAGAATTTTCCACTATTTATATCACTCAATGAAGGAGCTATTATCGAAAAGGCTTGAGCATTTAATGGGAATTCAAAAAAGGCGACAAACGTACATATCAATGTTATTAGAACCGGACCAGATATTAAACTGGCAAGGGGATCGGGTCAATGGTTCACTGGTTCAACCGTTGGGTCAACTGGTCGAACCGGTCATATAATAAAAAAATTTATATAATAATTCTAAAACATAATAATTTAGCTAAAAGTATAAAATATATCTAAAATGCATATAATTTGTCATAAATTAAAGTTAGTGGGTGATTTTGTGCCCCAAAATGAAAGTAAAATTAAAGCAGAGGTGACAACAGAACAGAAGAATAGTTGGGGGGTTGTCTTGTCTTTCTTTCTTTATTATGTGGATTGGCATCTTCTTTTTGTTTTGGTCTGAAATCAAAATCGCGTGAATGAAAAAGAGAGAAAGAGAGATGGGCATGCCTCCAAATCAGTCCACCTTTGTCGCTTGGTGTGAAATGGCGCTCCAGATCATCCAAGGTTGTGAGAGAGGGAAAGGGGTTGTGCCCCAAGATAAGCCACCTTCAGTACATAATGTTCAGCCAAGATCAGCCACCTTCAGTACACGATGTTCAACCAAGGTTGTCATTGTGCTTCAGCGATTTATGGCAAAAAGAATCGATCAGTGTTATCAGGTGAAGGGAAAGGGGTTGTATCCTTACTGCATTAAATCGTCCAGTTCACGGTTTTTTATAAAAATTGGCCGATTTTCTGATTTTCTTTGGTTCTCTTTCTTATGCGGTCTAATTAGAGAACCGCACCGGTTAAGGTCCCAGGTTATAGTTAAACCGGTCTGACCGGCCAGTCCGGTCCAAATCTGATAACACTAGTACATATAACGACCTTCAAAACAGAGGCGTGCTCGAGAAGCCTATAGTTCTTCTCGCGCCATGTGCCCTATGACACACATAAACGGAGGTTGGGGATAGTTGACAAGACGTAGGCAGCTCGCCAGTCACAAATTAACACGTGACTTATTATAGCTAGCGAATGCGTCCCCCCAACTTCCAAGGACAGGACCGAGCAACAACCATCTTTAATTGAGTGAATATGACCTATAAGGGACCTACTCCGAGAATTAATTGTCCTTGAGAAGTGTGTCTGGTGCAAAATGTTGATGTGATGAGTAATCATTATCATTACATCAATTGACCACCTATATCAAAACTCCAGAGAGATAAAGGCATGGTCCTTGCTATCTAAGAATAGTCCTCGGGGATATCAAATTAATTGCTTGGCATGGAGCCATAAATGCTCGGCAATTGACCATAATTATTCAACATAGAGCACTTGATATTCAGGATAACTTGGTGTTTAAGGGACGAGAACCTATAAATGCTCGGTCCCCTCAAGCATTTAAACTCAGTTATGTCCCATCGCCAAATATTTATAAAGCATGACAGAAAGCACTTATTGCACGGGTTGATGGTTGTAAAATGACAAGCCTAGGTTGTGGGTACTCAAATGGTTGCCATGTCATCACATTTGAAGGTATAGATACCCCACTGAATCAGAATATAGGTATGCATGTTGAACTACCTTTGCATTGTATATTAATCCTCTCAGTCTTGAGCATCGATTGACTTAAACTTCGAAGGAGATAAGTTGGGTACACCCCCGGCCCCTTTCTGACTTCGTTCATTGTTTCAGGAACTTCTTTTAAACTCATTCTGAGATAGATTATCTCAAACTATTATAGGAAATCAATTGCGTAATTACAATATAATTAAACATTGTTAGTTAATACATTATTAGATTAATCACGGTGATCAACCGCGGTGTTTAAAGGAGTAGTCGACACAAGTCTAGACGCTCTGTAACAAAAAGAAAAATTACAATATCAAAGCTTATCATGTGGTCGGTGTGAGAATGCAAAAGTTTTTTAAAAAAAAGATCAATTTTTATAACCCTATTTTGTTATAATTTGATAAAGAAATTTTAATATGATATCAAAAAATAATTTTCGCCCAAAAACTGGGAGGATTAGCCATGTATTATTTAGACTATGAGTTGACATCATCATGCCCACGTCAAACTTTGTTATCGGAATACTTTAGTTTGTACATGAACGACAAGATTATGTTACGTATACAAAATTAAAGGTAGTCTTTATAATTAATGTCTCTTTTATTAACATGTGGTATAATAGTGGACAATGTCTCCGGCTACCCTCCTTTTTCATCATCCTCTACGCAACTTTCACTTCTGAAAAACAGGTTTGCTTGTGGTCCTAAACACCTTGAAAACAATGACCCTTGTATTCTCCTTATGGGTGACAGGTTTTTGTATTTTTTTGAACTGGATGGGTGACGCGTTAATAGCATTCTATTTTAAAAGTTAAAAGAAGGAAGAACAAAGACTTTGTGTGAATGGCAAGACTTGTAGGTTCCCTTTCTCATGGACAGAAATGATCCAACTAAAAAAAGTTGGAAAAATGGGGTGAGAAGAAATTGACTTCAACCAACAGCCCTCGTCATTCATTTCTTAATTAAACTTCCAACAAATTGTATCACTAAGTTTTTTTTATTTATTATCCATGTCCTAATCGAATCTAGATATCGTTTCAATTATGCTTCTTTCTGGGAAAGCGTTTTTATTTCACTGTCGCTTATGTTTTTTTTTTTAATTTTACAGTCCAATCAAACATTTTCTAAATCTATCTAATAATTAGGCTTAAATATTTTATAAGCCTTTTTGTTAACTCTTGTTCAATCTATCAATCTTCGAATCTCTTTGCCCCTTCGAGATAAGTATTTAAAAAATAATTTTTTAAGCTTGGGATGTCAATTAACCCGGGTGGCATAAACTCCTTTAGAGTTATTGGAAACTTAGACATGAAATCTATATATTCACGAGGTGAGTTTGAGTTCCTTTGCTCTTTCTTTAGTCTTTATTTACCCCCCCTTCCAATCAAAGTTTTTCATAATTGGAAAGAATGCTGGACTCCTCAATCGGGTATGTTCTCATCATAGGAACCAACTTCCTTTGGACTATCTATTAGTGGACTTAGTCTAGCTACCTCTGTGGTTTCTTCTAAGGGTGGAACTTCTCCTGCCATTTGTGGTGCTAGTGAAAGCGCTGGCTGGATAAAAATGTTCAACATTATTATGTTAACCAAGATTTTTTATTAAAATTTTTATTCCAAGTGATGTGACACAATATTTATAATCAAATTAGTAAGTCTCATTAATATAAAGCGATAGAGATTGTACACTAAAAGAAGAGAATATAAACATAACTAGGGTTGGGCTCTGACTTCGACGGAGTCAAAAGGCATACATCTAAACTCCAATCGAAATCTGCAATTTTTCTTCTATTTTGTTAAACTCTGACTCCGACAAAAATAAAGTTAGACCAGAATTAAAATAGGTTTTGAATTTTCAAATTCTTGCACACCCATAATATCTTAGTTGGCTGAATCATCAATCAAAGCTTTCTCTTTCTTTGGACATGAATTATCTGATGAGAGCGACAATCGTGCTTAATTTGCAAGGAGCCACGAGGACAGAGGATTTCCATATAGACACTTCTAGAGGGGCATTGATGTCAATTCGCGCGAAGACGTGCCATTGAAGTCAAAGAAGCTTACCATTTTGCCAATGCGTTACAGAAATTAGTGGAGGGCATTTTCGGTATTCTCTATTTCAAGAAACTATTACCGTCTTCTTTAAATGCGCTTCTCGTGTTGCTTGAACGAAACCTCCATTTTCTTTTTGTTCAGGAAGCAAACTAAAAAGTCAGAACAGAGGAGGAGAAAGCGAGAGCGAGAGAGAGGTGTAGAGAGAGAAACAATCGATTCGGTGAGCTCAGACAAGCTAGGTACGCTTCTCGGTGAAACAATTTGTTGCCATTAAGAATCTAATTTAGAAAAATTCCTGTTTAAATCACTTAATTCTGTTGGATTTTCGCGTTCGTATGCTATGCGATCTTGTATTGTAACTTGGTGATTTAAACTGAAGTCCTCTGTTGTATTTTGGTTGTGGTCTAGTTCAGGTGCGTGATCTTGTTCAATTTGTCTATATAAGTTATCTAAATTAAGGAGGAAAAGCAGAGGATTCTCTTTACTAAATTGATTTTTTCTTACTGTAGTTTTTAAATTAGTTCGTTGCCGTTTGCTTCCCGCAAATTGCTCGATTCGAAGCAATTGGTTCAAGTGGATTTGATAAAATTGTTTTTAAATAGTGTTCTACCATGTATAGGACTGGGAATTCATAAAACTCTCCGTAAATTTATGATTTCTTAGAAATTTTACGACATTTCATATACTAGTTGAATTCTTTTGTCTGAATTGGTATTTGAGTAAAGGATTAGAATGTTACCTCTACTAATCTCTTATCTTATTTTGTGGTCAACTGTTAATTGCTATTGTTCTGATTGTGTACCTATCCTCATTGTTATGCCATTCTTTTTCTTTGTTTTCAGCTCTCTCTTCGTGATTATATAATTGGAAACTAAACCCTTTCTTCATCTTTCTCTCTTTCAGATTAGAGATTCATACATGGGTTCGATGTTAGAACCAACACAAGAGAGAACTTGCTGCAAGCCCCAAGGGATTCGATTCATAGAATCCATAAAGAAATCTACCCTTTCTTTCAAAACTCACCAAGCCATTGTCCTAATTGTGACATTTCTTGCATACACAACTTACCATGCCACTCGAAAAACTACCAGCATAGTGAAAAATGCCCTTGATCCCCAATCTCCAGATGTGGAGTTGAAGTACTTCCCATGGCAAAGAGCTTACTTAAACAAACCAATTGAAAGCAAGAAGTTTTCATGGGCTCTCGGTAGTGGCTGGGCGCCATTTAATGGTTCTGATGGCNGATTCTCATTAATATAAAGCGATAGAGATTGTACCCTAAAAGAAGAGAATATAAACATAACTAGGGTTGGACTCTGACTTCGACGGAGTCAAAAGGCATACATCTAAACTCTAATCGAAATCTGCAATTTTTCTTCTATTTTGTTAAACTATGACTCCAACAAAAATAAAGTTAGACCAGAATTAAAATAGGTTTTGAATTTTCAAATTCTTGCACACCCATAATATCTTAGTTGGCTGAATCATCAATCAAAGCTTTCTCTTTCTTTGGACATGAATTATCTGACGAGAGCGACAATCGTGCTTAATTTGCAAGGAGCCACGAGGACAGAGGATTTCCATATAGACACTTCTAGAGGGGCATTGTTGTCAATTCGCACGAAGACGTGCCATTGAAGTCAAAGAAGCTTACCATTTTGCCAATGCGTTACAGAAATTAGTGGAGGGCATTTTCGGTATTCGCTATTTCAAGAAGTTCTTCTTTAAATGCGCTTCTCGTGTTGCTTGAACGAAACCTCCATTAGTCTTTTTGTTCAGGAAGCAAACTAAAAAGTCAGAACAGAGGAGGAGAAAGCGAGAGCGAGAGAGAGGTGTAGAGAGAGAAACAATCGATTCGGTGAGCTCAGACAAGCTAGGTACGCTTCTCGGTGAAACAATTTGTTGCCATTAAGAATCTAATTTAGAAAAATTCCTGTTTAAATCACTTAATTCTGTTGGATTTTCGCGTTCGTATGCTATGCGATCTTGTATTGTAACTTGGTGATTTAAACTGAAGTCCTCTGTTGTATTTTGGTTGTGGTCTAGTTCAGGTGCGTGATCTTGTTCAATTTGTCTATATAAGTTATCTAAATTAAGGAGGAAAAGCAGAGGATTCTCTTTACTAAATTGATTTTTTCTTACTGTAGTTTTTAAATTAGTTCGTTGCCGTTTGCTTCCCGCAAATTGCTCGATTCGAAGCAATTGGTTCAAGTGGATTTGATAAAATTGTTTTTAAATAGTGTTCTACCATGTATAGGACTGGGAATTCATAAAACTCTCCGTAAATTTATGATTTCTTAGAAATTTTACGACATTTCATATACTAGTTGAATTCTTTTGTCTGAATTGGTATTTGAGTAAAGGATTAGAATGTTACCTCTACTAATCTCTTATCTTATTTTGTGGTCAACTGTTAATTGCTATTGTTCTGATTGTGTACCTATCCTCATTGTTATGCCATTCTTTTTCTTTGTTTTCAGCTCTCTCTTCGTGATTATATAATTGGAAACTAAACCCTTTCTTCATCTTTCTCTCTTTCAGATTAGAGATTCATACATGGGTTCGATGTTAGAACCAACACAAGAGAGAACTTGCTGCAAGCCCCAAGGGATTCGATTCATAGAATCCATAAAGAAATCTACCCTTTCTTTCAAAACTCACCAAGCCATTGTCCTAATTGTGACATTTCTTGCATACACAACTTACCATGCCACTCGAAAAACTACCAGCATAGTGAAAAATGCCCTTGATCCCCAATCTCCAGATGTGGAGTTGAAGTACTTCCCATGGCAAAGAGCTTACTTAAACAAACCAATTGAAAGCAAGAAGTTTTCATGGGCTCTCGGTAGTGGCTGGGCGCCATTTAATGGTTCTGATGGCACGGAATTGCTTGGTGAACTCGACGTGGCATTCCTCTTTGTGTATGCCATTGGCATGTACTTCTCTGGGCATGTGGGTGATAGAATGGATCTAAGAATTTTTCTAACAGTGGGAATGGTGGGAACTGGTTTGTTCACTTCACTCTTTGGAGTTGGATACTGGGCAAACATCCATATGTTTTACTACTATCTAATTGTCCAAATGCTTGGCGGTTTGTTCCAATCTACTGGGTGGCCTTCAGTAGTTGCAGTTGTTGGAAATTGGTTTGGGAAGAGAAAGAGGGGGCTAATTATGGGTATTTGGAATGCTCACACATCTATTGGGAACATAACGGGTTCTGTGGTTGCTTCGATTTTATTGACGTATGGATGGGGTTGGTCCATGGTTGTTCCTGGTGTCATGATTACTTTCATTGGTTTGGTTGTTTTTCTCTTGTTGCCGGTTAGTCCCGAGTCTGTTGGAGTTAATGGAGATGAGGATGATTTGCTCTCTCCCAAAAAGGGAGAGGATGTAACAGAACCTTTGTTGAGATCAGAAACAGATAATAAGGAATCAGCTGTGGGGTTTTTAGAAGCATGGAAGATTCCTGGAGTGGCTCCTTTTGCATTTTGTCTCTTCTTTGCTAAATTGGTTGCTTATACATTTCTCTATTGGCTTCCATTCTACATCAGCCACACAGGTACATTCATTTCTGCACTGATGTACACGTGCGCGCGCGCGCACGCACACACACATATATATGTATGTATAGGAAATGTTTCTTTGTGTGCTTTCAAGCAGGAAAAATTTGTGAATTGTCAAAACTTGGATCTTCAATGAAATTAGTTTGAACTTTTATACCAGTTTTAATTGGGTGATTGGTACAATCCATCTCAATGGTATAAAACAAACAAAACTACAAACTGGCCTTCTATAAAAGATTCCCCTTTTGTCTGTTTAATGTTTGAACTATTCTGACAGTATGGGTTGTTTATGGAAGGCTGATAAACCACGAAAAACTGGGATCAACTCTTTTGAAATTATCACTTCTGCTCTTAATTCCTTGTATTGTGTTTATGGTGATGCAGCTATAGATGGCAAGTACTTATCCAATGAGGCAGCTGGAAACTTGTCCACAATGTTTGATGTTGGAGGGGTGGTTGGAGGGGTACTTGCTGGCCACATTTCTGATCGATTAGATGCCAGAGCCATAACAGCTGCAAGCTTCATGTATTGTGCCATCCCCGCTCTCTTCTTCTACCGGAGCTATGGACACATTTCCATGACTGTAAATATCATTCTTTTGTTGATCACTGGTATGTTCGTGAATGGACCTTATGCTCTTATAACAACAGCTGTTTCAGCCGATCTGGGGACTCACAGATCTCTGAAAGGCAACTCAAGGGCATTGGCCACTGTCACAGCTATAATAGATGGAACAGGCTCTATAGGAGCCGCCATTGGACCATTGCTGACCGGATATATTTCAGTTAAAAGCTGGAGTGCAGTCTTCTCAATGCTGATGGGAGCAGCTCTGGTGGCTGGTTTATTTTTGACTAGGCTTGTTATGGCCGAGATCGCTGCAAAGATCCAACAATCAAGGTCTCAAGGAGTGCCTGCATCAACATCTCCAGCTCTTGAAGTATGATATGCTTTAAGAGTGCTCGTGTGTAATTCTCTCGGTGTTTTCAAGCTCCGTTTCTCGGCCTCGGATCATATCGATGGAGAGGTTGGGAAAATTCTTCAGGTTATATAGATCAAAGACAGGAGAGGGTGTTCCCTATACTTTGTCAAGCACACGGAAAATCAGATTGCATATATAATGTGTCCTTATGTACATCCTTTGTATGTTGTATCGGATGAAGCATTGTACCCACAAGGATTGGTTGTAACGAGATTGTTCAAGATCTGTTCTGAGTTTAATCGTTGTTTAAAAGATGCAACGGGTCTTACCCCATTGAGGGATGATTTTAACAGGTATGGGTCTTTTACAATGACCCTATCAATCCATGGTTCAGTGTTTTTTTTTTTACTAGAGAGTATCCAAATTTGTACCAATTGCTCCATCGAGTTCAGTGGCAGCATGGTTCAGTGTTTAAATAGCTGGGAATTAGGTACTAAGAAGTTCAACGGTGGAACAATGTACTTTGTCCATAAGCTTGAAACCTTTGTTTTTGTGCAATCGAGTCTCATTTAAATNCAGTGGCAGCATGGTTCAGTGTTTAAATAGCTGGGAATTAGGTACTAAGAAGTTCAACGGTGGAACAAGGTACTTTGTCCATAAGCTTGAAACCTTTGTTTTTGTGCAATCGAGTCTCATTTAAATCATGGGACATCCACAGGAAAGGATTTGTATAGTAGTGCCGAGGATTCTGTACATATGGGTGACACAAGTATTATAATGAAACAATCTCACCGCTGTGTCAAATACCAGTGCGTTATAGAAACTAGAAAGGCATTGTCAAACTCCAACATGCGGAGAAAATTACAATCTGAGTGTTGTTCAAGAGAAAAGATGCATTCCTAACAACCATCCTACAGGACCCGAACTCAAAAATTTCTGTTGTAAAAACATCCAGCGAAGGCAGGAAAGTTGGTAATCAGTAAGATTGTTTGTAAATAAATACTTTGTATGTTACACAGAGGTGTAAGTATACATCCTGGAAAGGAAAATTCACACAAATCTCGAAGATAAATTAAAAATCCAAACCTGAATCCAACCCAAATTGAAGACTAGCTATGCCCAACTTTGGGTAACTGTGCTCGGATAAATAGTAGGACACAGAGAGAAGAATTGGGAAGAGAAAATAAAAGTTCAACCAGCAAAGATGAAGAACAGCTGCTTTTTTTGTACCCTTGTTCTGCGTTGGAGGCGGAGGAGGTTTTCAGGCCTCTTAGATCCTTAAAATAATTCCTCATGCCACGTGCAACATAAACTTCCGTTCTACGTGACAAAGTTGACATCAAAACATTCTGCAGGTTTGATAGAGCAGAGACTACCTGATATGCACCACTTGCTTCCATGTTGTGGATCTACCTAGTGCTGTGTCTATGCGTTGTGTGTCCAATAGGAGAAGAGTTCCTTCCATCTTTGTTCAACCTAGAAACATCCTTCCAGGCATGCATCCATCTAGATGCAAATAACTACCATTACTTCAAAACAAAAGCATAAGTTTGACAATCTTATTTCTTGAACAACAGCAATCAAGTAACAATGCTACTAGTTCATATGTTGTGTACTCCAATTGATTCAGGCAATTAATACCAATTTGACTTGAAACTCGGATTAAGAATTGTCAAGCCTAGCCATTCAAAACCAACATCAGCGAGTGTAGTCCGTCACTAAGCTGATAAACACGAGAGAAATACTAAATAAACATATAGAACGTGATACCTCTATAAGTATGAAGAACTGTTTTCCACCAATAAGGGGAAGCCAATTGAGAGATCAAATGTTAGGTATTTTGGAAATCTGCTATCTTTTTAACATGGAAAACCAACCAGAGAGTGGACCAGAAACAAGTGGAGAAGATGACAGCATTTATAATTCCAAGGAGCAGGTCTACAGCTCACCTCAAAAAGATTCCTGCACTCCTTAGCATATATGATGCATTGAAGATGTAGAACTAAGGATATCCCTAGTGTAGTACGCATTAACGAACCCAAAGGAGTTTTCTAATGAATTTAACCAAGTTGAGATGAGAAGTAGTGAACTTCCAAAAGTTCGGTCTCATACTAAGCCCCTACCCCCACCAATTGGATTTATATCCGGCAAATAAGCGTGCATTTGTCGGATTCGGTTTATTAGTTTTGGCTTCCAATCCAGTCCTAGATTGCTCTGAGACTATATCTTGTGACAAGCAAATTTCATGGATCATTCTCTTTTTGTATGAACCTTGATGGATTAAGTTAAATAGAGGGAAGGACTTCTATCATCCAGACGAAAAACTGGATACAGTATATTTCAGGAGAGTATATTTCAGGAGACTAATTCTCCAAGGCCACGGAGACGCATCTCTTTTTGTATGAATCTTGATGGATGAAGGTAAATAGAGGGAAAGTCTTCAATCATCCAGAATGAAAAACTGGATACAGTATATTTCATGAGACTACTTCTCCAAGGCCATGGAGACACATCTATAACCATCTAGGACAGCATCATTGGTCTAGACTCAGCAAGACATATATTACTCAAGAGGATCATGTTCATTCTTTTAGGTCTCTCACCTTCTCTATGGAAGACCTCCACCCTTTTATACTTTCCTGTTCTTTTGCTCAAAAAGATAAAAAAAAAACTTCTCTGTTCNCAGACATATATTACTCAAGAGGATCATGTTCATTCTTTTAGGTCTCTCACCTTCTCTATGGAAGACCTCCATCCTTTTATACTTTCCTGTTCTTTTGCTCAAAAAGATAAAAAAAAAACTTCTCTGTTCTCCAAAATTTTATTCCTTTAGTGAATGTGTTTCCTTTGGCTTTCTTTTAATGCTAGAAAAAAAAAGTGTGCATAAACTTAAATTTCTACAATTCCAGGTCTCCATTAGATTGTAAAACATAGCCTCCAATCAGGTAATTTTCTTTCTTTTATCCCAGTCCCACGAAGAGGGTGGCCAGCATATAAGCACCATTCCTGTTACTTTCATTGATCCACGGGGCTCCAAATGGCTCTGTCTAAGTCTCTAAGACCACCAAGGCTCTCAAAGCAATGGCTATACAGATTGTAATCTGAAAATCTTCATCAACATGCGATTTCATGAAAGAGAAAACCATACAAAAAACAGTAGCTTAAAAAAATGAAAAAACAGATTATAAAGAGAAAAATATAACTCCACATTAAGTTTCTATGTTAACAAGGGAATTAGGGAAAGACCGAAGAACATCGAGCAAGGATGACGTTGTCTCCCTTGGAGGAAGCCTCTCTTCCATCTAGTTTATCTCCTCTGACATCTAACGAGAATGATGCCACAGTCTACAGAGTGGACGCTCGTCCACCTAATTATCTCCTCTAAGACCTCTATATCCTTCGCTCCAAAATGTATGAAGACCAATAGGTTCCTCCAAATGTGGGATCAAGTCTACAACCGGTAATATAAGTTCTAAATCAGATCCAGCTCAGCACCCTAAATGAACTTAACCCCTCAGATGGCATAAAGAAGTATGACTAAAGGAAATATGTCATCTACAAAACATAGTGGCAAGGCCATAACCCTTACGGAAAAAGTTAAATCTCATACAATACTCACTACCTCAACACGTAACCAACCTAATAGAAACAAAAGAGAACAAATGGTGAATCATGAAATCAATAACAGGAACAAATTCCAAAACAATCATTTGCATAGTCAACATCCAACAGCTCCACCAAAATGAAACAACGTTGACATATACAAATAAAACATGCTTTGTTTGAGACATCTCTAAGCTCCTAAAAAGGTGCAGAAGAGTAAACCAAAAAAAGATGAAAGCAATTTTTACAGCCACCATAACAAAAGATGAATACCCAGAAACCTTAAGGTGTGATCATACACCTCCCATAACAGGATATGGATCAACAGATCCAGTAGCCTACAAGAGTGATCATATAATGTGGCTGAGTTAGCACAACATCTTGTGAGGCCTAGGCTTTCCCTTTTACAACCCGCAGTATTGACTCTACTTCTATGAACTCAATGGATGAAATGAGGCATCGCAAAAGTAACATAACATATTCAAAATCGCCTGATTATGAGTCCTATAGCTAGACGCTTTTGTTTAGCTGGTAAAATGGATTTAACAACTGTTAGCTTGAAAACATGGGAATAACGGATAGCCCAGTGGAAACAGGGATGGGGTGTAAACCCGGACGTGCGTGGATGACTTGCATTAGTCGGACACTCTTGACCACTAAATCAATATAAGAAAAAAGAAAACACGGGCACCAGTAGAGTAGAATATTCATATTTTGGGGTCAATCAGAATTCAGCTGTAGACCCATAACCATTTACAGATCACATAGCAACACACACGCCAACGCAATACTTGGTGCAAAATGGTCAAAACTTAATGCCAATTAATATCTGTAAGACCCATCTTTTTTACTCAATTTTCTAAATCATGCTACAAAATCCACAATTATATTGAGCATTATTTAGAAGAAAATTGACAAGGGGAAAGAGTAAAAAGGAATAATTGTCCAACAAACACCTGTGTAATATAGGCGGACTTGTGATGATCATCGAGTCAAACGTCGTCGTCGGACTTCTTGGGCTTCCGGTACTTCTCTTCCATAATCTTGGCCATGAAGAGAGCAGTATTAGCAAGCTTCCGAATATTGGGAACATTGTAGTTCTGAGCTATGTAAATCCCACACACTGTCCCCGCGATGAATGAGAAACTGCTTCTTATCAATCCCATCACTCGATCACTTGGTCTTCAATAATTAATTTCTCTCTGATAAAGTCACATATTCAGAGAATTTCCGTTGCGGAAAGATTTCTTTTAGGGTTTTGTGCTTCGTGGAACTATAGAGATTTTCGCAGTAGAGAGATGTGGCTCTGGATAGGTCTGGAACGCCCGAAAGGTGGGCTTGTAACGGCACGTGACTTCAATGCTTGCGTTGAATTACGTCTATAAATAATATTTTAATTTTAGGGTTAATTATAAATTGCGCTCCAAAAGATCGTTCGAATTTTAATTTATACCTCAAAAGATAAAAAATTTAAATTTATACACTCAAAAATATAAATTTGTATGAATGTGCAACCCAAAAATCAAAATTTTTAATTTGTATCNGGAATTACGTCTATAAATAATATTTTAATTTTAGGGTTAATTATAAATTGCGCTGCAAAAGATCGTTCGAATTTTAATTTATACCTCAAAAGATAAAAAATTTAAATTTATACACTCAAAAATATAAATTTGTATGAATGTGCAACCCAAAAATCAAAATTTTTAATTTGTATCCTCAAAAAATAAAAATTTGTATTAATGTGTACCTAAAACTAACCGTCATCAATTTGTTGCTTAAAATTAAATTAATAAATTATACTTAGATCCCCTCATACTTATCACTTAATCATTTAGGGCCCTTCACATTTAGAATATTACTCATACATCTCATAATGTTTATGCACGNTAGAAATTTGTATTAATGTGTACCTAAAACTAACCGTCATCAATTTGTTACTTAAAATTAAATTAATAAATTATACTTAGATCCCCTCATACTTATCACTTAATCATTTAGGGCCCTTCACATTTAGAATATTACTCATACATCTCATAATGTTTATGCACGTATAGCACGTAACCCCTTTTCTTTGATATTTGTTAATATAACTGTTAAAAAAATATGATTTTATCTTAATAAAAAAATTATAATTCTNTATACATCTCATGATGTTTGTGCACGTATAGCACGTAACCCCTTTTCTTTGATATCTGTTAATATAACTGTTAAAAAAATATGATTTTATCTTAATAAAAAAATTATAATTCTATATTACCCTTTATTTTGAGGGTCTGCTATATTCTAAAGTTCAAAATCAAACTTACAATTTGAATGTCCAATAGAATATAGGTATTTATATAATATTTTTTATATTCAATGCAATATCACTTAATCATAATTATTTGAATGCCCAATCGGAGGGACATTTTAAATTGAGTGTATTTTTATAAGGATTTTATAATCGTTAAAAAATATAATTTTATCCTAATAAAAAATTATAATTTTATATTACCCCTTTATTTTATGAAGGGTTCTAAATAATTAAGTGACAAATATGAGGGGATCTAAGTATAATTTATCAATTTAGTTTTAGGCAGAAAATTGACGACAACTAGTTTTAGGTGCATATTGATACAAATTTCTATTTTTGATTGTACAAATTGAGATTTTTTATCTTTGAAGTTGTATATTGATATAAATTTTTATTTTTTAGGATGTAAATTGAAATTTTTAATCTTTAAAGATACAAATTAAGATTTAAATTATTTTTAAGGATGTAATTAAGGTGACTTATTTTTAACTCGATAAAAAAAATTAATTACAAAACACCATGCTATCGCACCTAGTGCAACCGCTGCGGGTGCAACAAAAAAGTACCTGTGTCCTGGGCCCTTTTCCTTTGGGTAGGGAATCTACGGGAAGAAGCAGGAAATCACTCGAGGAATGTCTTTATTTATGCTTGCCGCAGCACGAGCTCATTTCTTTCTTTTACCCCTATTCCATCTCAGAGGGGTCAAAGACGTTGTCAGGCGCGCAGCTAACTCAAGTGCTGCCCGAATCGAGCGAAGTGGTCGCTTATTACACGAGCCACAACTCACTAATTCTGCCCGGGTGGGGTATTAAAATTTTTATTTTTATTTATAGGGTAAATTTTATTATTAGTTCTTAATCTTTGATTTCGGTTTTAATTTAATCCTTAAATTTTTAATTATTTTAATTTAGTCTTTTAACCATCAATTTCGTCTCAGTTAAGTCATTTTGTCAATCTTTATTATTAGATCAAATGGAAACATATGATCTAATGGTAAATATTGATCAGATCGAACTAGTCTCTATTTGATCAAACGGTAAAATTAGATAGATTGACTTAATTGAAGCGAAATTAAGAGTTAATGGACTAAATTAAGATAATTAAAAGTTTAGGAATCAAATTGATATAAAGAATAAAATTTGAGGACTAATTATAATTTTTACCCTTATTTTTAATATTAATTAATTAAGTGTTATATTTTATAGTTTTGAATCATATCGACTTCGTCTCAATAGCTAAAATTGACACCTCAAGAAAGAAAAATAAAAACTCACGGTGCAAAGTAAGGGGGTCACAATCGTATCATATCGATTGTGTTCGTATTGTATCATTTTTGGATTTATGTGTTGTATCATTTTTGGATTTATGTCGGGCACTGATTAATTCAATTCTAACTCATTTAATTAATTGTATTGTTTAAATTCGATTTGTTTATTTTTGTATCATATTCGTGTTAACTCATATAACCTATGAATACAAAATTTAACACTCAAATTTAAGTCTAATATCACATTATCTCCAAATTGAGCTCACATTTATACCTTTTTTTTTTATAAAACTAAAAATTAACTTAATAAATATAATAATAAAGGAAATCAAAAATCCTCTTTTTGTATTAAGGATTATGTTGATGCTTGAGAACAAAATAACAAACATTTGGCATTTTATTATCATAATATTAATTAAATGTATTAATTTGTGTGTATTTGTGTTCGAAACTAACTCGATTTGTTTATTATTAATGTTAAAAGATCATATCATTTACGAGTTTATATAAAAAAAATATCAACTCTAACTTTCTAATTTTGTGTCATTAAAAGTTGTGCTTACGTGTCGTATTAGAAATTGTCATCATTAGTGCAAGGTCAATAATAAGAACACATTGATCCCGCAATATTCATGGACCCTTTAGTTGGTAGGTGAAAGGTCAAAAATAAGAACACATTGATTTAAAATGAAAAATTTAGGATAATGATATGTATTTCAAATTTATAATTTAAATTTACATTCCAAATTAAGGAGAATTATTGGATCAATGTGTCTCATTTAAAAAAGTTGATGGGATTTACTGATTCAATGATCCTCTTTGATTTGGAATATAAATTTGAGATACATAATACTACTAAAAACTTTAATTTTTAAAGATATAAAATAATAATTTTTCAAATCTTGTGAGGTAGGAAGTATAATTGACCATAATAAAAATAACAATTAATAATCTAATATTGAATCGTACTAACTAAGCATTTTAAGAGTATAATGAATGAATTTTCAGTGATTCCAAACAAGACGGTGCAAGGAAAGGGAGAGGCCAAAAACAATTGTATTAATTTCCTAAAACAAAATAGGGCTTCTCAGATATTAATACGCTTTCCCGCAAAAATTGATCATCTCTCCCTCTCTTTCTCTCTCTCTCTCTTCATCAAGGTGGTGATCGTACAATCTTCTGCCGACGCTTTCTCATTTTCCTCTCAGATCGGTATAGTTTCGCGATTCTTACGTGCGATTACTCGATTCTTCTTGTTCAATTCCCTTTGTATGCACGCACCTGAATTACACACATCTTTCTTACATATTTATTTGTAACGTTTGTTGATTTTGATGCGGAAATAATCCCCCCTTTTTTTTTTTNAGCATGTGTAATGCTTATGTTCTCAAGTAGGATTACAATAGTGTTTTCTAGTATCAGTTTGGCAGAAAAGAGTATAGAATTGTTTTACCTAAGGAAGCTGACCTGATGACTCTTTGTTTTCACAGATCCATGTTACATAGAATAGGGGAAGAAAAATGCATTTCAGAGAGTGTCTCAAGGCTGGCGTCAAGTTTTATGCCTATTGTATTTTAGCAGGAATAGATGATGTCGGGACACTTCTATTTCCATTATTAAAAATTTTGTTATGAAACTCCCTCACACAAATTTCAAATGATGCTAGAATGTTCTTTTGCAAGTTGTTTTAGGCAGTTATGACTTGTTTGGGGTCCTGGTTGGTATCAGGTTGGGCTGCTTGTGACGTAATTATGATATGGACATACCTATCTAGGGGATGAAAGTGGGGTTTTAAAGGGTGAAAAGTTCTAAAGATACCGACAACCTCAGAAGAGGCTTGGAAGTCACTTTCCACAGTCGCTTTGAATTTCATCAATTGCTCTGTGTGTGTGTGTATCTCTCTCCACACTTGCCTTCCTCATTTTTCCTTCCGTTTCACTGTTGTAAGGAACCATAGCTTGCATGAGGTCAGAATCTCGCAACAATGAATGTCTGTAATCTGTGATTGATCTTGATTTTGAAATTGACTATGAGAATGCTAGTGTGAAAGCATTTTACCTATTTATAAAAGATGTATTCAGAAACATAAATGTTCAGACTGCCCAAGTACCCAATTTTCATGTTGCAACCCCGTAGTTATGGGGAAAAGTTTTAAAAGTTGGCTCTATAAGGTCAATAGGACCTACAAAATAATGGTCCATTGGGAACAAGGATCGAAATGTTGAGTTGACACACACGAAACATACAAAACGTTTCAGTTTTTCTGCATACCGACACGAAAAATCCTAAAAATCCTAAAAATCAAGAGTTTTGATCATAACACCACTATTTCGTACTGTTTTGATTGAAACGGTGATGTTTTGGTCAAAACATTGGTGTTTCGACNCATGGGGAAAAGTTTTAAAAGTTGGCTCTATAAGGTCAATAGGACCTACAAAATAATGGTCCATTGGGAACAAGGATTGAAATGTTGAGTTGACACACACGAAACATACAAAACGTTTCAGTTTTTCTGCATACCGACACGAAACTAGGGAAAAATCCTAAAAATCAAGAGTTTTGATCATAACACCACTATTTCGTACTGTTTTGANCCTAATGAGATATTTTATTGCGCAACTCTGAATCATGTTCATCAAATGGATGTTAATATGGATTTAAGACGGCCAAAGTAGAATTACAGATGACTACATTAATGTGATCGTAGAGTAGCACTTGTTGAAGATATTGAGAGAAAATCACTTGAGATGATTTGAGCTGGTATGATCCAAACTAATAGGTTCATTAACAAGGAAGAGTCGCACGATCACTATTAGTGAACTGAATAAGGATATGATTGCTTGTGATGTAATAGAGCGTGAAGCCCCCATTGTTGTAGCAGCATGGTGGAAAAATATTTCATGTAGTCAACTCCGAAGATCTGGGATAAAGCTTTGTTTGGTAACTTTGGTTTGGGTAGACATGTTGGTAAAACATGACCAACAGAATGTTGGTTGTGCTGCGTTTGGAGCAAGCCTGATGACAAGAGATTGCATTGATAATATTACTATCAATATACCTACATTTCACCCTATGGTTACTTTTTTCCCTAGCCTAATTGGTACCCGATGGGATTACTTTTATGTCTTTNGAGCAAGCCTGATGACAAGAGATTGCATTGATAATATTACTATCAATATACCTACATTTCACCCATGGTTACTTTTTTCCCTAGCCTAATTGGTACCCGATGGGATTACTTTTATGTCTTTAGAGTTTAGAGTTGAAGATTCGCCTCACGAAAACTCTGCCAAATTTATTCTAAGTGAGCTCAGTAAGTAAGTCACTTGGATTCATGGCGCCGTTCTGTAGTGTCCTGGATCATAACTTTTGTTGAACTATATGACAGCATTATTCTCATTACAACAGTGCATGTTAATTTAGTTCATAGGTCATCTTTCTTTTCTTGCATTCCCACTGGATGGACTTTTTTTCTCTTCCTATATGATGCAGTTGAAATTTTGTTACAAGTTGTCAAATCTTTTTGTTGTTTTATCTTTCATTTTATTACTATATAAGTTCTTGTATTTTATTCTTTCTTGTCTTAGTGCACTTCCATATTATTATCCTCATTAAAATGGACTTTTTTTCCGTCGGGAAATTTATTTTGGATTTATTTTGATTCACTCCATTTTATATTGGAAGCAATGAACTTTTCTTAAGTAGAACTCATTTGGATATGTTGTGTTCATGCAGACTATCTTCTTTGCGGAGTTGCATGCTTCGGAAACTCGAAAACTGGTGGAACGCCTTATTAATTATGTTATTTACAAGGTATATATTCTTAGTTAGTTGCAGGAAAGCAGAAGGTGATTTATAGCTTCTGCATATAGCTTTTTGTTTAGGTTACTGCAATGATTCTTGTGATCATATTTTGCTGTTTATTCTTTCTTTGCTAGGCAGAGTATCTAGTTACTTTTTGTGGAAAGCCAATGCTACATTAGAGCTCTTTGTTGATGCTTCATGTTAAACAGGCCTAAAATCTATAATAATACTAGAAAGGTAAAATTTATTATTTCTGAGTGGTAGTAAGAAAGAAAATTATTAGTGTCCAAGTCCTTGTTAAAATAGTGTGGGGTTAGGAAAAAATAAGCATGTGTAATGCTTATGTTCTCAAGTAGGATTACAATAGTGTTTTCTAGTATCAGTTTGGCAGAAAAGAGTATAGAATTGTTTTACCTAAGGAAGCTGACCTGATGACTCTTTGTTTTCACAGATCCATGTTACATAGAATAGGGGAAGAAAAATGCATTTCAGAGAGTGTCTCAAGGCTGGCGTCAAGTTTTATGCCTATTGTATTTTAGCAGGAATAGATGATGTCGGGACACTTCTATTTCCATTATTAAAAATTTTGTTATGAAACTCCCTCACACAAATTTCAAATGATGCTAGAATGTTCTTTTGCAAGTTGTTTTAGGCAGTTATGACTTGTTTGGGGTCCTGGTTGGTATCAGGTTGGGCTGCTTGTGACGTACTTATGATATGGACATACCTATCTAGGGGATGAAAGTGGGGTTTTAAAGGGTGAAAAGTTCTAAAGATACCGACAACCTCAGAAGAGGCTTGGAAGTCACTTTCCACAGTCGCTTTGAATTTCATCAATTGCTCTGTGTGTGTGTGTATCTCTCTCCACACTTGCCTTCCTCATTTTTCCTTCCGTTTCACTGTTGTAAGGAACCATAGCTTGCATGAGGTCAGAATCTCGCAACAATGAATGTCTGTAATCTGTGATTGATCTTGATTTTGAAATTGACTATGAGAGTGCTAGTGTGAAAGCATTTTACCTATTTATAAAAGATGTATTCAGAAACATAAATGTTCAGACTGCCCAAGTACCCAATTTTCATGTTGCAACCCCGTAGTCATGGGGAAAAGTTTTAAAAGTTGGCTCTATAAGGTCAATAGGACCTACAAAATAATGGTCCATTGGGAACAAGGATTGAAATGTTGAGTTGACACACACGAAACATACAAAACGTTTCAGTTTTTCTGCATACCGACACGAAAAATCCTAAAAATCCTAAAAATCAAGAGTTTTGATCATAACACCACTATTTCGTACTGTTTTGATTGAAACGGTGATGTTTTGGTCAAAACATTGGTGTTTCGACCAAAACACAAACAGTGATTCGACCTCTTCCTCAGCAAAACAAAGAAAAGAATAGAAAAATAAAAGAAGACAAAGAGAGAGGAGGCAAAACGTTGAAGAAATCGAAAAGAGAAGAAGGATCCAGATTATGCAAAGGTCGTGAATCCAAATCTGAGCAGATCCAACCTCCAGATTGGTTTTTCTGTTTCCTTTCTCTTCTTTTTCTTCTATCTTCCTTCTCTGCTTCTTCTTCTCTATTGTTCCAGTGAGTCACATCTCTCGATTGGATCGGCATCACGAGGTTGGCGAGGCTTGGCCTGTTGCGCTAGTTCCTCTCTCTCTCACTCTCTCTCGTCTGGAATGATGTGGGTCACCGACTGTTTAATTTACTTCCCTTTTTTTATTTTTTTTAAATTAATATTAATGCCATTTCAACCCCCTTTTTTTCCTTCATAATTGTTAATAACCCCTATAATTAATAAATAGCTTATTATTGTTAATTAACTTATAAAAATAATTGTAATTAATTTTTTGGTATATTTAATATCTGAAATTAATTATTTATGTTTGTAAAAATTGTTCATGCAATATTTTTAATATTAATGAAATAATATTACTTAGTAATTTGATGATGATTTAAATTATTAATTTAGTATTATAATAGCATACAAATAATAAATTTGTACTTATTTTAATTTAAAAGTGTTATATATATGCGTCATATTTAATTTAAATTGGTTATGTATAAATGTAAAAATTTGTTTGCTTTATGAAAATAAAGTGTTTAAAACTAATTGAAGTGATTTTAGTTTCGTGTTAAACTCTCTTTTTTTTTCCCCTCCAATTTGATGTTATCTTGTATAAATGGACCACATATTTCTCTATTTTTTTTGCGTTTCCAAAACGTTTNTTTTTTTCCCTCCAATTTGATGTTATCTTGTATAAATGGATCACATATTTCTCTATTTTTTTTGCGTTTCCAAAACGTTTTTTGTTTTTGAGCTTATCNCTTTTTTTTTCCCCTCCAATTTGATGTTATCTTGTATAAATGGACCACATATTTCTCTATTTTTTTTGCGTTTCCAAAACGTTTTTTGTTTTTGAGCTTATCGAAACCATACTTCAAAACGATATTTCGATCTTAGCTTAAGAACCACAAGTTAAGTTATTGGGCTACTTTGTTGCACTTGATTTTTTTATTCTCAGATTGGGTTATGTTAAACAGCCATTTACTCCAAAAGTTTAAGCTGTTGGAGAGGGTGTAACTTAAGTATTTATATTTCAATATGCTCTCTGCTTGATTTTGGACCTAGCACTTGAAAATCTTTTTAATAATTAAGGTGGTGGCGAGATTTGAATAAAAGATTTCACTATGTTAAACAACCATCTACTTCAAAAACTTAAGCTATTGGAGTGGGGGTAACTTAAATATTTACTTCAACAGGTTGCAACTTGTAAGTGGCTTTATTAGTGTTCCTTTTACTACAATGTTACCAAGCATTTTCCCAAAATACTTTTTTGGAGGTTTTTAGGTCTGTTGTATGTAAACCGAGTTGAGTAATTATTGCCACTCAAGATTGTTTTGAGCTAATTATCTGAAGAGCTATTCTAGCTTAGCTCAGAAAGTTCATGAGTGGCTTGAGTTTGCTCGAAACTCCGTACAAATAGCTTTATGTTTCCACTCATGATTGCTATTTGGAAACTATTTTGGTGTCTCAAGATGATGTTGTCGATTATTTGCTATTTATACTTGGCTTTTGTTCCTGATTGTAGTGTTGCAAGTTTCTAGATAGACACATTAAGGCATCTAATATTTTTGTTTTATGAAGACAGAGGATCCTGATTGTCGTGTTGAAAGCTTCCCGACTATGACGAGCCGAGCTTATCTTTGCTCATGCCCGACTTGCGTTTATCAATGAGCCTGAAATGGAACTCAAGCTTGGCTCGTGTAGGGTGGTGAGCCAAGCTTGATTAAGTCTATAATGAGCTGCACGTGATCAGCTTGGTTCAGTTTACAGCCCTAATCTAGATATTACTTTACATTTAACCCTAAACAAGGGTGGTCATGAGCATCCTAGCACTGTTTATTTATTTGTGGTGGTGCACGGAAAGATATAGAGGTTGGTCCCTTGCGGAGACTACTGTCTCAAACTCTCACCAACTGCAAGGCATACAAAACATAAGTTTTGGCTTAACAGGATAGGATGCAAGTACATAAGGTCTAAGATAGGGCACCTGTGATTTTTTTTTTGATAGATTGGGTAGGGTGAGATGATTGAACGAATATATCAGAAGAGTTGGGAAAGAAGTTGTTAGAGTTTGATGACAGTTACCCTACTAGTTTTGCTCATTTTGTTTTCGGCTAGTTCCTATATTTTGAGTTTAGAAGCTAGTACAGTCAATTTGGGTAGATTATTGTGGTTTTGTTTCATGGTGATTGAATTATTTATGACTAGCAGATATTAGATTACTGTAAATTTTGGAAAGTTAACTACTCTTTTGGAATTGCTTGGCTTACTGTTTATGGACATTCTTTGGTCTGTAATTATTTCATGAAAAATTTGTGTTCTAACTGCTGCTGTGTATTGATGACTGCTTAACAGGGAACATTTCTTCCATTGGTAGTCCGACCAACCGTAGATCAAGTGGCCCTATGGTCAACGTGGTTGACTGTCCTTTGTTCTTTGAAGGTACTGATTCAATTATTTTTCAGATGCAGATACGGTATAGGTGGAACTAAATGGCGTATCATATGTTTAATATATCTATGCATATTTGGCAGATGTTTCAAGCTTTAGCCCGAGACAGACTTGAACGCTTGAATGCATCTCCTTCTGCAACTCCCTGGACTTACTTTCGTGTATATTCTGTCTTATTGTTGGTTCTATCTGTCGACTTGCTCTGGTATTCCTTAATGCCTCTTGTACATTAGGAAACCATGATGAGACCATGATGTTGCATCATAAATGATGGTGCCAGAGTTACCTGTCATTAATGTCTTATAAATATTTTTTCCTGGGTATTGCAGGATTAGGCTGTGTCTGACGATATACAGAGCAATAAGTTCATCTATGGTTTTATTGTTATTCTTTGAGCCTCTTAGTATTGCTTTTGAGACACTACAGGTAATGTATTCGAAAATCATTTTAAGTTCCATACAGGATACATTTTTTCCCTGACTCCCATTAATGGGAGGACTAAACTGGGCTTTTTTCTAATGGATGCATTTTTTTGTCTTTTTTTCTTTCACAGTACTCTCAAATTTTTTTTTAATGGACACATCTGTCACTAGATTTCATAGCATTATTGTGAGTATACTAAGCTCTGGTTGACATGTTTTTTGGGCCTATAAAATTTCTGTATAGGCCATTGTGGTTCATGGATTTCAGATGCTTGATATGTGGCTCCATCACTCAGCAGGAAATAGCTCAAATTTCCGATTATCCAAGCTCTTTGATATATCATCAACAGGTGGTTAAAAAGCTTAATTTTTATTTGCATGTGTTTTTATGGATTGGTATATGCCTACCTTTCTAGGAGTTGGTATATGCATGTGCTTTAATTGATTATTTATGGGGATTGATGGTTGTGCTTGCTTTATGGTGTCATTATTCTGTTAATATATTCTGCCTGTATCTTTAGGTTGAAAACATGAAATAGGTTTGATGTTGTTATTTTCTTCACTCAGTAATGCCATTCTTCCAAGGAAAATTATTCATATGAAACATGGCAGTGTATAACTGTTTCATAAAGTTAGTTTTCTGTTTCAGAAAGGAAATCCTATCTGATCAACTGCTTAAAGCATATCAATTCACCATAAGTGCGGGAGAATTAGAAAATACTGGGTACGTGTATGTATTCCATTTAACATGATCTTGGTTGAGGTGATTTCAAATCAGGAAATAAGCTCAGTGTTCAGCTGTCTTCTTTCCAATTTTTAGGTGCTTCATAGTTGTTGGTAGGTCTTATGGTAAGTGTTTGTATTTTGTTGTATGGTAATTTTAATTTTCCATTTTGGGAAGAAAAACAAGTTTGAGTGACCAAGGAAGACCTTGAGAAACTCATCACCTCAACCAAGTTTTTAATGGCCCCGAAGGATTGCAGTAAGGTCATGGCTCCTAAGAAGTAGGAGAGGTGAGAGTATGGACCTAGGTGATCATTTGTGCATATCATTGAATACCCGTAACCCTAGGGTCATATACACGTTTGAATAGATATATATTTTTTTAAATTTGTCATTTGTTTTTATATATGAAAATTCAAAAACATTTGAAATTTGAAAAACCAAAAACAAAAGAAATACAAAAATCCAAAAAGAGTTTTGATGTACCTTTTTGACATTCATTTTTAGGGTTTATGGTAAATTTCTTTATTTGTTTTCCTTATTTATGCATTTTTTTCATGTACATGTGTTTATTGAAAAAGTCAAAAATATAGTAAAAGAAAAAACCCAAAGGGCTTTTTTTTAAATTTTTTTTCCTTTGTTTAATGATCATGGTAATTCACACTTTTATTTGTATTGAAAAGGGTGGCATATTTTCTGCTTCATGTTGTCGTTTTCGTTGCTGCTTCTAATATGGTTTATTGGATTTTTTGTTGTTGGAGTTGTTTCTTTATTGCCATCTCAAATAACGAAGCGTGCCTGCAGGTTCATTGTGTGAATGGAAAGGCATTATTATTCGGAACTTGGGTTTTTCCCTGGACATGATGACGTTGTTGATGGCTCTTGCTCATTATGTGCATATTTGGTGGCTTCATGGCATGGCACTGAACCTTGCGGATGCAGTGCTTCTCCTAAATATACGAGTAGATGTTTCTTTCTGCTTTTTTATTGTTTTGTTTGGCATCCTGACACCATGTTATTTTTACTTATATTCAGTTCTTGTTATGACCAGGCATTGTTAAGTGCCATCATGAAGCGTGTTAAAGGATTCATCAAATTGAGGATAGCTTTGGGCACCCTTCACGGGGCACTTCCCGATGCAACATCTGAAGAGCTACAAGCATATGAAGATGAGTGCGCTATTTGTAGGGTAAGCTTAATTTAGCTGCTGTTGTCTTCATTTATTCTCTAAATCTTCAAGCATTTGCTATCGTATATGACAGGAACCAATGGCTAAGGCTAAGAGGCTTTCTTGCAATCATCTTTTCCATCTTGCATGCTTGAGGTCATGGTATGATCTAACATTGATTACGGGGAATGGTATTTGCCAATAACTCTTAAATTTATGGTATGAAATCTAATGCTGAGATGACATGTTAATATCAGGTTGGATCAAGGATTGAGTGAAAATTATTCATGTCCCACCTGCCGAAAGCCACTTTTCATGGGCAGACCCAGACCCACAGACGAAGCAAACCCCAGTGCTGCAGATGTTTCGAGTGATGAGGAGCTTGCCCGTCAAATAAGTTCTGGTTTTAATCAGCAAAATCCTCCTGGTCATATGCTGCATACAGGAGTGTTCCCCAATCAGACACCAAGCCCTTTAGAAAGTGGTGATTGGAGGTTTGTTTCCTTATTTCACTTGTGTACGGTTTCTCGTCGCTGGGTTTGGCATTATGCCGAGTGTAGTGTTTTTTGCAGCTTAAAGCTGGAAAAAGCAACTCCCTAATTACATGGTTCTGTCCCGTTGTTCTTCAGGGGTTTGTATTGTTTATTATTTTGTCTAATTCCTCTTTCTTCTTTCTCTTCTCCTGCTGGTCTTTTACATTCTGTCATCAGAGCATATTTGTTACAATTAAGTAGGTTCATAACTTCATATAGCAGTTTGTTTCTGTCTTCATCTGGATGATCAGAATGTTCCCGTGTGCATGGTTTGGACTTTTAGGAGACACCAAAAGGCTTGTAGTACTGACTGGACTTTCTGTAGCATTATTTTAATGCAATTATCATGCATTTTGTATGCATTGCATATTATTGGCATTTTCTAAAAGATATGTTATCTGATAAATCAAGCTCTCTAGAGTTCCCTAACTTCTTGTAGACCCTTGCTAGGCCATCTGGTCAATACTTGCATGCAGAATTGTCTGAAGACTAAAAGCCGGTGATATTTATTGATTTGATTCTCTTTGTGGGGCATTTGTTCCATAGGGGGACAGGGCTTGATTCAAGTTGGCTGGGACTTGATGGAGCTGGTCCATCTACAGCTATCAGATCAGGTGGATTGGGGAGAGTACAGATGGTGATGAGGCATCTTGCGGCTGTAGGAGAAAACTATGCCCAGACTGCTCTTGAAGATGCTGCTTGGAGCCTTTGGCCTATGAATCCTTCTCAGGCAGGTACATCCAGTTCAGCTTTACCTCCTCCTGGTTCTGCAAGATACCCTGGAGCTGCCGGTGGTTTACATATAAGGACTACCTCAAGAGCTGCAAATGATATATCAAACATACTTGCCATGGCCGAAACGGTACGGGAGGTGCTGCCCCATGTTCCCGATGAACTAATTTTCCAGGTATGGATTGAATTCAAGTTGTGAAGTTGCCTATATAGCTGGAAAAAGAGCAAGTGCTACTAGGCTTTTTACCAATGGAAATTGGAAGGAGTTCCATGCTCCCTTTAACAAGTAAAATCAGGCTGTTAGTCCTGGCAGATGTATTTTTCTGTGGTAAAGATATAGTGGGAGGAAGGTTTTTTCACTGAATATATATCGTAAATATCATGGAATGGGAAGAACGGTTTAGATGGCGATGGTTTAAGTAGGACGGAGAGGGTAAGGGAAGGAGGAGCCCACCAAATTTTTTCTGCCAAAACTAATGGGAAGGAGATGATGGGGGAGGAAATGGAGGAATCATTCCTTTGACTTGTAAGGGTGTGATTGTAGAATCAAGCAACACAGTTTTCTTCATTCATCCTTCCCTTCAGGTTCACCACACCGGAGGGGGGGGGGGGAAACATGGCTTCATTTTTCTACAGATACTTTTTTCTTCCCATCCTTTTAAGTTTTGCATGTCTCTATCAAATAGACTATAAGTTTATATAGCAAAGATTAGTCTGCGCTTNTTTAAGTATTGCATGTCTCTATCAAATAGACTATAAGTTTATATAGCAAAGATTAGTCTGCGCTTGATAGCTCAGCACAAGATGCAAACATTTCTTATCAATTGTCATTATTATATCGTGTTGACCTGCGACAAAACTCATGTTCTCCGTTGTTCATCTTTTCTGCTGGTATCACTGGTAGTTTGAAACCACCCTGTTTACAGGAGCAAGCTGCACTGGCATTTGTTTACATTGCGTACTTTGTTGGATTTAACTCCATTGTATTGAATTTTGCAGGANTCACTGGTAGTTTGAAACCACCCTGTTTACAGGAGCAAGCTGCACTGGCCTTTGTTTACATTGCGTACTTTGTTGGATTTAACTCCATTGTATTGAATTTTGCAGGATTTGCAGCGAACAAATTCAGCTACTGTTACTGTGAATAATCTACTCCAAATGTGAATTGGTGTCACGTTTTCTTTCTTGTTAGTGGCCTTGCTTCAAGTATTCAAGGGAGGCGAGTCCAAGCATTTTGAGGGTTTGAAATTTAGTGATCTACATTACTTGAGGTGCTAGAATTATCGGTGCAGCCTGATTTCTTGCACCGTGTTGTTTCCGATATCCATAAGCTCATTTTCTGTATATACAAGCGGCTTACTAGTGCGAGCTGGAGAAGAAAGTGCAGATATATATATATATATATATATCTTCTTATTTTTTTGGAATAAATTTTGTTTATATGCAAAGTTCAACAAGCTGTTTTTTATTTATTTATTTGATTTTGGTACTACTTTTTGTTGCCTTTAGCCTGAATATAGGGTTAGATGTAGATGCAGCTCCACCATAAGGTGATACTAGGTGAGAAGTTGGGGTGACCGGAAAGCAACTGCTCGTCGGCAACCGGACCTATGGCACTGGAGAGTTGTCAGTTTCGTACTCATTGGGACAATAATAGAATTGTGATGGAGGATTGAGGTCTTGATTACACTACCTGACAAAAAAAATTTGGTATTGTATCTCTAAAATTTATTACTTTAATGGGTATTTTTATAATTTTTATGGGTTATTTTATAATAAAATGTTTTTTTTGCTTTTGTGGGTGTTTTTTTTACCATTGTTGAATATTTTTATTACTGTTGTGGTAATTTTTTTATTAATTTTTTTTTGTATATATTTTTTATCGCTTTTGTGGGTGATTTATTATATTTATGGATATTTTTACTACTATTGTGATAATATCGAGTAATTACTATTTTATATAATTATTTACAAAATAGAATGTTTATTATAATTAGATGATTATGCTATGCCAACGTGAGAGGTGTAACCTTTTCTCCCAAACCACACTGCAACAGATTGGCCCCTTGATTGGGGATCATAGGAGGCGATTGAATCTCCCAACCGCCACATCATATCTGAAACCTCGTAACCGCCAACCACGTCATGACCATGTTTTCTGAAGATGACCAAAAAAATTTAACAGCCACAAACCATTTATAAGAAAAATGTAACTGCAACTGCATAGAAGAGTTCAAAGATGACAAAAAGATACGCAATTTTGCAGAAGAAACTGCAAGAACTTGAATACGAACTCGTTCAAGTGTTCGCTCTTCCAGCAGAAACACCGTGCCACCAACTTCTCTCCGAAGGTATAGAGCAAAGGTTTCTGTTTCTGACCAATCTTTTATCAGCAGAGATTGCTTCAAACCCATCAAAGCCTCACCACTTACACCACATTGCCCAGAGACTCACTGAACTCGAGACCGCATTTCGCGACTGGGACGATTACAGAATTTCAGTGGTTAATAATTTCGAGACTGGTTCGATATGTTCATGCACTCAATCATGTCTCAATGATGACGGAGAGGTTTTGGGTGATCTAGGTTCTCCGGTTTACGATGTCCCGGAAACTTTTTATGAAGCGGTGGTGGAAGAAGAGGTGGCGGAGGAGACGGTGAAGGTTGAGAAAGAGGAAGGGAGAGTTTGGGTTTGGGGGTATTGTGGGGTGATGGCTAGTGGAGTGGTGCTTGGAGCAGTTTCTATGGCGTTTGTGATGGTAAGGTTTTCAGGTTGTTTTGTTTACATGGCAAGTGAAGGCTTTCTTATTCCTACCTAGTGGAAGGAAGTGGTTAATAATGCTTTGTGTTTGGTGTAATGCTTTATTTGTTGACATGATTACGTTAATTCAATGAAATCATTGGAATATTTAATGGGGCTTACAATTAATTTAAAAGTTTATAATAAATCAGATCAACAAATAAAATCAAAATTTTAAATCTCTGTAAATCAAAGCTTTCGGGGTAATAATTACTACTAATATGATTCAGATATGGTGCTTTTAGTACCTTACAGCTATAATTTTTTTAGTAACTCGCTCTCAATTCGCGAGCCAATCTCCGATATGTGTGTGTTTGTTTGTCGGATTTGTTTTCTTGGTGTAGGCATTATGTCTTTCATAATATTTTTATGTCATGGAAAAATAGAATCGGTATTAATACATAACCCAATCTCATTATTCACTGTTTGTGTGAACATTTGTTGGCCTTGTGGCTATAATCGGTGGCCATTTACCGCTGAATAATATAATACATGAGATGGTATTGAATATACCCTTCTACATAGGTGGTATATGTCAATAGTAATACTATTGATTGACACTTAATTCACTATGACTTTGAGATTGATTGTGGGCTCCATCACATATTGGAACTTGGTGTTGATTCAATAGTTCTATTGAAACCACATTATTATATCAGCAAATTAAGTCAAATTTTTAGGTTCAAATAGTATTACTCATATGTCAACTATAGATGTCGTGTCAATATAAAGATAAGAAAATTAGTTCCAAACTATATTAGCAAAACAAACATAGTATTAAGTGGGCCCAAGTACTATTTTAGAATATCCCCCAACCTTGTGTCCCCATTTTACGACAAACAAACGCACATTACATGGACCCGTACTCATAACATTTTGTAAATTAAGTCAATATTTTAAGTCTAAATAACATCGCTCTAGTATTTGACAGCAATAGATAATTTCACATTATCATGGACTCGTGACTAGTTTGCAAATTGAAAAATGTTATTTGGATTTAATTCGATGACCTAATTCAATGTAACAATTAAAAAAATAATAATAATTCAATGTAACAATTAAATGGATTATAAACTATAATTACAATAAATTAAGTCCCAAATTAGATCCACTCTTGCAAATTAGTATTGGCTTCATGTTGTGTTTGGATCATGAGAAGCAAAAGCCCAGTTGTTAAGCCCAATTTAACCCAACCTAGCTTGTAAGTGCAACGGTCAAAGCAACATTGGGTTAGTCCAGTGGTCTGCCAAAGGGGCCTGTTTTCCCAAGTACGAAACCCAGACATGGCGCATTCGTGTGGTTTTGATTAGGTTTGTCAATTCTGTCGAGTGAGACGAAATTATTGTCAAATTGTAATTGATCCGTGTTAAAAAATATCTCACTTGTTTAATTTGCTTATTAAATTGTGTACAATTAATTTTATCAAATCAAGTATGAACGCATAAAATCAATAATTAAACGAGTTATATTATATATATATTTTTATTGATTTTACTTATATTTAATTCGTTTATTAATTTTATATCTAAAATTAGTTAAGACTAAACTTAGATAGTTTGGATATCTTAGCTCGGATCTCTCAGCCCGTAAACTTTAGTCTAGGAGGTGCACGTCGAGAATCATCACTGATGTGATCCTTGTGCACATAATCATAACAATAGCTCACATATTCCAGAAGATCACATTACGTTTAGGGAATGTAACCTATAACAATTAAATATTTTGGCACATGAGAGATAACAACTTAAAGGAAATCACGTTGATTACGCACGGATCGTAGAGATCACGCAAGGCAATTACATACTATATAAGTAGGGATCAAATCCCTCACATTGTAATAAAACAAGTATTTGGTCTATTACTCTGTGTAATTCTGTAAACATCTTTCCCTAAGTAATAAAAAACTTTGTTAAAAGTAAGAGATTACATTAGAATAGACTAATCAAATTTTTGATTTGATGAACTATTATAAATGTTTTATCTATTGATCATCATTCATTGTTATCTCCCTGAATTGATAGTTCAACCCTCAACAACCTAAAAAATCCGACTAATTATCTTAAGATCTCTAAACCATTCATCTATGCTCAATGCACAAAACACACCATCATACTTACATCACATTTAACTATTCGTATAATATTTTAAGACTCCTAAATTTTGATCCCCCTATCCCGACCACTAGTGGTGGAGGTTGACAGCTTAAAAACCTCGGATTCCTTTTATATTTCTTTCTTATCTTTGTATAAAACGGGTACACAGAGACGACAAACTAGACGTTTAAACCATGTGAAAATCACTACCTTGTGCTGGCTTTCGCTTTATTGGATAAAGCCGAGATTTCACACAAAAAATGTTTCAACTACAACTCATTTGCCATGTTTTTCTTTTAATCTAAATGACACTAACATCCATAGTGATATATCTAAGNTCAAAGCAAAAGACTTTTACAAGGTTAACTAGATGACCCCAAAAAATGTTTCAACTACAACTCATTTGCCATGTTTTTCTTTTAATCTAAATGACANCACAAAAAATGTTTCAACTACAACTCATTTGCCATGTTTTTCTTTTAATCTAAATGACACTAACATCCATAGTGATATATCTAAGAATTATGGGGTTTTTCGCATAGTACTTGAAATTACACTAAAATTCTGTGCTAGATTTTATCTTTTAACCTAATTAAGGAATTTGTTTTTCTCTTAATTTTGCCTTTTCCCTTTCTCAAGTTACATCTCATTGGGACAAACTTAATTTTGTAACCAAACGCTCTTTTTCCTTCTTCTTTTTCTCTCCTTATACGCACCATTACTCATTGACCACTGATCTCCACCAACCACGATTCCATTCCATTGTCCCTTATCACTATCCTTCGCTTCCTCTCTAATTCATCGCAATCCATCTCATTCAATTCTTGAGGTTTGGTTGAGTTGAATTGGGGGTAATAGTGGTGGGTGATAGAGGAAGAGGGGGTNTCCAGAAGATCACATTACGTTTAGGGAATGTAACCTATAACAATTAAATATTTTGGCACATGAGAGATAACAACTTAAAGGAAATCACGTTGATTACGCACGGATCGTAGAGATCACGCAAGGCAATTACATACTATATAAGTAGGGATCAAATCCCTCACATTGTAATAAAACAAGTATTTGGTCTATTACTCTGTGTAATTCTGTAAACATCTTCCCCTAAGTAATAAAAAATTCTGTTAAAAATAAGAGATTTCATTAGAATAGACTAATCAAATTTTTGAATTGATGAACTATTATAAATGTTTTATCTATTGATCATCATTCATTGTTATCTCCCTGAATTGATAGTTCAACCCTCAACAACCTAAAAAAATCCGACTAATTATCTTAAGATCTCTAAACCATTCATCTATGCTCAATGCACAAAACACACCATCATACTTACATCACATTTAACTATTCGTATAATATTTTAAGACTCCTAAATTTTGATCCCCCTATCCCGACCACTAGTGGTGGAGGTTGACAGCTTAAAAACCTCGGATTCCTTTTATATTTCTTTCTTATCTTTGTATAAAACGGGTACACAGAGACGACAAACTAGACGTTTAAACCATGTGAAAATCACTACCTTGTGCTGGCTTTCGCTTTATTGGATAAAGCCGAGATTTCATCAAAGCAAAAGACTTTTACAAGGTTAACTAGATGACCCCAAAAAATGTTTCAACTACAACTCATTTGCCATGTTTTTCTTTTAATCTAAATGACACTAACATCCATAGTGATATATCTAAGAATTATGGGGTTTTTCGCATAGTACTTGAAATTACACTAAAATTCTGTGCTAGATTTTATCTTTTAACCTAATTAAGGAATTTGTTTTTCTCTTAATTTTGCCTTTTCCCTTTCTCAAGTTACATCTCATTGGGACAAACTTAATTTTGTAACCAAACGCTCTTTTTCCTTCTTCTTTTTCTCTCCTTATACGCACCATTACTCATTGACCACTGATCTCCACCAACCACGATTCCATTCCATTGTCCCTTATCACTATCCTTCGCTTCCTCTCTAATTCATCGCAATCCATCTCATTCAATTCTTGAGGTTTGGTTGAGTTGAATTGGGGGTAATAGTGGTGGGTGATAGAGGAAGAGGGGGGTGTCGTGATGGTGGTGGTAGTTATATGCTATTCAAATGTTTTATTTTTATGTGTGCATTTTGCAATAATTATTCATAAAGATACACGTGATGTTTTTCTGGGTGCATGTTTTCTATTAATAGGAGTAGAAAAAATTGTTGGTCATGGGTTTGATTAAAGAGTGTTTTTTGTCAACTCACGTGTTCACTCTATTGAAGAAAAATAATTACGTTTAATTTCTTGTACAAATATTTTTCAAAGCCAAATTTTTTTTTGAGAAAATTGAATGATGTTGGTAGGTTTCATTGGTTTACTGAACTATTGACCAACATAACTGTATCCCCTCAAATACAAACCCAAACTAGAGGGAATGAAATGTAATATTACATGTTATAGAGGAATCTCACGCAATTATAAAAAAAAGGAGGTATGTCCACATAATTTACCTTTTAAACTCAGATGGAGTAGATAGGTGATGTCTCTGACGCCACAAGTCAGAAAATCACATGCTCTCCAATTTTATTTTTTCTCTCTGCGTCAAATCAAATCCCAATCAAAGATTCTCCTGTCTCATGCATTTTGTCTTATCATCGTGAATTCTTTAGGCCCATTTCTGTCCAAATAATTTCTCTCTCTACGCGGCGACTCCAGTTTAATCCAATCCTCTGACAAAAAAAACTAAAATTTAATCTAATCCAATCCGATAGATAAAATTTCGATCTAAACAATAAGGACTAATTTGTTTTGGGGATAAGAATGGTATAAAGAAGTGAGATTAAAAAAATAGTATATCAGATCCACCATATACGTTATTTGTTTAATATTTTACAGTCAATACTAATTTTTAGATCGTAATACAGACCAAATATAAATAGTAAACATAATACTTTATATATGGTATTAATAAATACTATCTATCAGGTGATATTATTTTCATGAATTAAATAAAAAGACGGTACAAACATACAAATTAACACAAATAGCTATTGAACAAACAAATATGAGAGTAAATTAAAATAATTTTTATTATTGATATTAATATTCCTTGATATAAAAAATGTAAAAAATATATTTTTAATACCACCTATAAATAATACTGAGAAACAAACATAACCTACAACGCATATTCCCATCCAGCTGTTTCCCTTTTGTGTGAAATTACCAATTTACCCCTCTACGCCTCATCTTAGCCTTATTACTTTCCCCCGCTACATTTTCACACCAAAAAGCTCCGTCTTTTTACCTCAGCTTTCTGTTCAAAACCCTATACCATTCTCTCTATTTCAGTTTTCTCTGTAATTGTCGCTGGGTCATAGTTTGATTGAACCAAACATGAGCAGATTCAGGAGATTTGATATCATGGAGCACAAACCATCGATTTTCCTTCATGAAACCTCCATTTTCGCACCCAAAACCCTTACCCTGAAATCCCTTGTCCCTTCATTTGCAGTCGACGAAGAGCTCGACTTTGCTCTTGATCTCTTCAATCCTAACCCTGTTCCGACGTCCCTATTCAGTCTCAAATCACCATTTGACGACTTCGACATCCAGATCGAGAGAACACCATTCTATACCTCAACTCGGAGAGTTCGACACCGAATCGAGCGACTTGGTGCTGATGAGTTATACTTGCAGAGTCTGTGTGACCGAGTCTCTGCGCTCGAGCTAAGTTTTGATCGGCTGGTGAACCCCAAGACTAAGGCTAGAGTTGAAGATCGGAAGTATTCGTGGACGGCAGAGATCAAGGACGGTGTGGATCGGAAGTATAAATGGACGGCGGAGGTCAAAGGAGGGAAGAAGAAGGAAAAGGGTGGTGCTGAGAAGACATATAAATGGACGGCTGAGATTAAAGGCGAAGGTGAGGACTCTCCGATCTCTCGGACGTACACTTTCAGGTCGTCTACTGGCGGCGCCGATGACAGTGCCGGATCGAAGAAGAAGGAGAAGGAAGACAAGAAGAAAAAGTGCGAGAAAGGAGCTCGTGTGGTCGAGATTGAAGAGCCCTCTGATCATGGGGCTGTCGTTCTCAGACAGGTTCGTCAATAATTTGTACTTGAATTGCTTTAATCCAGTGTGGTAGTCTTTTTGGGCATTGCATTGTTTACTAATCGCCATGTCTGTACTGGTGATGGAGGATAGGCTTTTGCGAAGAGAACAGTGGCCGTGGAGAAGAGGAAGGGGAAGAGGAAGGAGTTATCGCCGCAAGACGCTGCAATAATGATACAGATAATCTTCAGGGCTTATCTGATCCGAAGGTCGCAAGCTCTTCGTGCGCTTCGGGAGCTGGCAATAGCCAAGACTAAGTTGAAGGAGATAAGGGCTTTGTTCAACAACTTCTCTTACCGTCGTCGTTTGAGTTGTGATGCCGCGGAGAAACAGAGGTTCTCTGAGAAGATAATTGTACTGCTCCTTACTGTTGATGCTATTGAGGTAATGTTGTCTGTATCTCTATCTCTTGTGTGTATCTACATTCTTAATATTTGTGTTTGATAATGTAGTGTTACATTGTGTTGCTTTCATTCATGGATTTTCGGCTATTGATTATTGTTGTTTTTTTTTCCCACCCTGAATGTACAATGGTTGTTGCTGGATATGGGTATTGGATGTTTACCATTTGGCTCTGTTTCTCTGATGTTCTTTGCTTGTCATTTGATAATTATAAAGTTGCCAATTACAATCGATTGGGCAGCTGAGGATGGTTTATTTGCAATATATACTCATGTATTGCCTTTTTACCATATGGGTCTGTTGCACTCATGTTCTTTGGTTATCTGAAATGTATTTAACTTTCAATAAAAAACCAATGGACATCTGAAGATGGTACATTTGCTAATACTTGATGATTGGGTTAATTCGAGTCATGTGCAAGTAGTAGTGAGCTGCTTCTCTAAGCAGATTGCCTGTCTTGTTGATTCAAATTCCTTTTGTGGTTAGTGTTTTCCAATTAGCTACCATTTACCTGACATAATTGGCATCATCTTGGCGATGCTTGGTGTCTTTGTCGGTCACATTTTGTCCTCATGCGGCATAGTTGTTTGCCTGCTTTATTGATTCGGATTCCTTTTGTGATAAGGTTTCTTCAATGAGCTACCTGTTGCCTAACATACTTGACATATCTTGGTGATGCTTGGTGTCTTTGTAGGGTACATTTTGTCCACATGTTGAATATTTAGTTGCCTTACTTGTTGATTTAAATGCTATGTTTGATCTTTTTTTTTTTCCTTTGAGCTATAAGTTACCCAACATAATTGACATAATATGTGTTATGCTTAGTTATTTTTGACATGTAAGCTATGCAGTTTTTTTTGAATGAAGTATCAATCCTAGTTGGCTAATGGTGCATTAATGGGAGTTTAATCAACTTAAAAATGCACTAAAGTATATCATACTGGTGGTTTAGTTTATAATTATTCCCCAAATTGTTAAACGGCTATGTGTTGACTAGTAAATACCTATTGCAAAATGTGGGATTTTGATGGTGCCTTGTTTGCATTTATCAGGGTGCTGATTTGATGGTGCGATCTGCAAAAAGGTCTATGGTGGACGAGCTGGAAGCAATGCTTGATGTTGTAGACCCCCAGCCTCCTGGCAAATCTCTTTCCATGAGGAGGAGGACTTTTGACATGCCTGATGGTCACATGCAGAAGGAACTTGCAGCTGGTGTGGCACAGGTGGTCCAAATGCTTGATCAAGATTCAAACGGTATTGAAACCTTTGAGGCATGCCTGTAAGTCCTTGGCAATGTGTGGAATCACCACATTTTGGGTTTTCCCAGGTGTTGTATTTTCCTTTAAGTAGGTTTAAGAAGATGCATCTCTAGTTGTGAGCGTTAACCTTTTTCATTCAGGGCAATGCAGATGCTCTGAGGAGATTTCTATGTTATCTACTTTTATCTGATGGGATTTTTGCTACTGTTTTAACATTCCCTTCTGAGAGGGGTGTTTTTCTATGTGCTTAGATTTCTGCCTGTGATGTTGCGAACAATAGTGTTTATTCATTTAGAACTTCCATGCCTTCATCTTAAAAATTAGATTCTTATATAGTGGAGATTGCACTATGTAATCTTCTCATTCTGTTTTGTGTACATTGTAAATTCCTCTTTCTAAGGCATTACCGGTATGTGATGCATTGTGAATCTGTGTGTTCAAGAATTGTTTTTGGTGGATGCTGTCCTATTTTTTTTTTTTTTTTTTTTTTTTGGGGGGGGGGGGGAAGTTGTAGTTGACGCCTGGGGTTGTGGTGAGGCTGACCATCTATCATTGGCTGGTAAGAACATTTCCATTGCTGCGCATCTTGTGATTCAAGGGTCCCAAAATGGTTGCTTCATCTTATTCAATCACTTTGTCAGAGTGCCAAAATGGTTGATTAACCTGCATTATGTACCTCCAAAGTCTGATGACCACGCCGGGTTTTTTTAAGGAGAGACGTGCAAAGAGGTGCTAGGGATCAAGAGCAATGTGTGTGTAATAGCATCTCCAACATTAACTCAAACATATAATTAAATTTAAATTTGAGTAAAAATAGTTAAAAAAATTTCTCCAATCTTGGTTTTTTGATTTTTTATATTTTTCAAAACTCTAATTTCACGCTTCTTTCATATTATATAAATTCTAAGCCTATCTATTAATTTTTTTTTTGATTTGTTTGAGTAAAATATTATCGAAAGTATAATTCGAAGCCACTGATTTTTTCTGAAATTTTAAGTCTTTATTATCCACAAATTTAGAAAATTCGTCTTTTTATTTCTCCAAACTTCTATTTTTATTAAAAATGTATGTTTTTGTATTCTTCAGACCAGACTCATGTTTTATTTTTATTTGTTTTATCTGAATTTATAAAAAATGATAAGATATTAGAACAATCTAGAATTCTGGACCGATTTCTTTATTCACGTGTAGTGTTGTATACATTTTTTTTTTTTTTTCTGAATTTATACATTTGTGGAGAGATATGAAAATTTTATTTATTTTATCAAACATCATAATTTAAATGATACAAAAAAAGAATGATTTTTAGAATAATAAAAGAAATTTTTAAAAAATTTGAATAAATATTTGAGTTTGAATCCTGTAAGATAATGCCTTTTGTATTCATACTTGTAATTATTCATAAACTACACGACCTCGTGTATTGATTAAGCCCAGAAGGCACTAGTGAGAGTCAAACACAACTACGCAAGAGGCCCGATGAAATGGCTCACCTTAAGAGTTGACTTCACCTTGTTGGGCTATGGGCTATCTGTGTGGGTTAGGAGAGCGGTGTTTGTTTAAGGAGAAAGGTGCAAAGATGTTAATGTTTCTCCTAAGACTTGGGAGGGATGAGGATTTTCATAGAAGGGATACTACACGCAGTAGATTCAGCACTGGGCGGCCCAAGGCCCAGGGGTGAGTTACCCTGGACAATGACTTAAAAGGGCTTTATCTCGAAGACTANTTTGAGTTAAAATAGTTAAAAAAATTTCTCCAATCTTGGTTTTTTGATATTTTATATTTTTCAAAACTCTAATTTCACGCTTCTTTCATATTATATAAACTCTAAGTCTATCTATTAAAATTTTTTTTTGATTTGTTTGAGTAAAATATTATCGAAAGTATAATTCGAAGCCACTGATTTTTTCTGAAATTTTAAGTTTTTATTATCCACAAATTTAGAAAATTCGTCTTTTTATTTCTCCAAACTTCTATTTTTATTAAAAATGTATGTTTTTGTATTCTTCAGACTAGACTCATGTTTTATTTTTATTTTTTTTATCTGAATTTATAAAAAATGATAAGAGATTAGAACAATATAGAATTCTGGACCGATTTCTTTATTCACGTGTAGTGTTGTATACATATTTATTTAATTTTTTTCTGAATTTATACATTTGTGGAGAGATATGAAAATTTTATTTATTTTATCAAACATCATAATTTAAATGATACAAAAAAAGAATGATTTTTAGAATAATAAAAGAAATTTTTAAAAAATTTGAATAAATACTGTAAGATAATGCCTTTTGTATTCATACTTGTAATTATTCATAAACTACACGACCTCGTGTATTGATTAAGCCCAGAAGGCACTAGTGAGAGTCAAACACAACTACGCAAGAGGCCCGATGAAATGGCTCACCTTAAGAGTTGACTTCACCTTGTTGGGCTATGGGCTATCTGTGTGGGTTAGGAGAGCGGTGTTTGTTTAAGGAGAAAGGTGCAAAGATGTTAATGTTTCTCCTAAGACTTGGGAGGGATGAGGATTTTCATAGAAGGGATACTACACGCAGTAGATTCAGCACTGGGCGGCCCAAGGCCCAGGGGTGAGTTACCCTGGACAATGACTTAAAAGGGCTTTATCTCGAAGACTGTTAGAGCTTATTGGTATGTTTTTTGTGATTAATTTGGATTGACTTGTTCATAGGATTATATANAGACGATGACTTAAAAGGGCTTTATCTCGAAGACTATTAGAGCTTATTGGTATGTTTTTTGTGATTAATATGGATTGACTTGTTCATAGGATTATATATCTATTATGGTTATATATTTGTATTTAAATAACTATTATGCCTTTTAACCAATTTAATCCAAACTCATGTTTGTTTACGTATATGGGATAATATGGGATATATAGAATATATGAGGAATATAAATGTCATTTAGATGTTAAACTCATTAACTAACATACGAAACCCCCTTTATGAGTTTCATGATCGAACCTAAATTGAATTGAGTTTCATATCCTAGATTAAATATATATTTGCCAAACACGAGTTTAAGGAAGTTTATTCCTTTAACCCATGTTCCAAAACCCCCCAAATTCCTATATCAAACAGGTCCTTAGACCTCCGGCTTGATGGCTGAACTTTGGAGCTTGAGGAATAACTTGAACATGGCTCATCAAATGAACATTTCGGGCTTATCGCATGTCACCCCATCAACAATGTCTAGCCTACCCCTTTAGACGCTTAAGTTAATAGGTGTTCAAAGGGAGGATAATATTTTTTGACTTTGCTCGGTAGTTCACGAATGTGTATCTGAGACTCAACTCATTGAATTATTTTACATTTTAACGGTGATGCGACAATACAAGGGTTCTATCAATATGACTGAGGGAATCTTTATGGATGTAATCATCAAAAAACTATACCTTTCACAATTACTAGGTGTAAATGAAGTTGACATCTCATTAAAGTCTAGTCTTGCAATGATTATCTTGTCCGGAAAGCCAAACACTCGATGCACACTCCCTCAACATTTATTAATCTCTACAAGATATTTATTGAGTTGTGTCGAGTATTCATTGGGTTGAAATCAAACATTAAAATTCACGTCAGTAAAAATTATGTTTTTATCCGAAATTCTTGAGATTCGAGTTACGTTTCTATATGATTTATCTGTAAAAATAATCATTTTCTGTGACTCATTGTATTATGGTGGGCCCACATGCATGCTTAGCGTTAAATACTCGATTCTAGATTATGTCTTATTCCTTTAGTTTGCTTAGAGCATATTTTCCTGGATTCTATTTTGGGGACTGAACGTCCTCCTTGATTTTGTAAGATTTGAGTTCACATGTTATTCTCTTATACGAGACTCGTCCCATGTCCCGTCAATATGAATCAAATGCCACGTAACTATTAGTAGACCCATCCCCATCCCCATTATGTACCCATTACGCCTATACAAGTTGGCATCTTATTTTATTTTAGACCAACAATTTCCACACATCATTAATTTTTGTTTTTTTTCTTTATTTTAGTTGACTTTCAGTAAAAACGAGTTTTAATATATATTTTTCTCAAAATTTTAAAATAAAATTCGGTCCATATCACACTATTTAAACCCTTGTGTCTCAAAGAATATTTAACACAACAGTAATGACATAGTGTTACCAATAAATAATAAAATTCTAAACGAATAAAATGAACCCTGTTTGAAAAATTATTAACTTATGTGAAAAAAAAATGAACAGTTATTTATTTAGAGTAATATTACATTGGCTAAAATTTGGGACTAAATCAAGAGCCCAAATGACGTGACAGCTGACTTAAATTTTTTTATTTGGTGTCTATGTCATTTAGGCCGCAATAAAGACTTCAAATAATATGCTACTATGTCATTTGAACTCTTGATTTGATGCCTAAATTTGATCAACATAATATTACTAATTTATTTATAAAGTAATGTGTCAATCGTGCATTAATTATATTTTTATTTCTCTTTATCAAGTCTCCCACACCCAAAGTCGTCCCCCAAATGTACGAATAAGTATTCAATGTAACGGTGATACAAACCTCCGTTTACATTGCCCAATGATCTAGAGCATGAAACTCCCTACACTCCGCTGTCGTACCACGCCAAATCTGCCGGAGCCGCTGGTTCTCCAGCCGGTTAAGCTGGTTCTCCGGCAGGTTAAGCGACGTTTGAATGGTCTCGTCGCTATCTTGCTCTCCATATTCTTTCTGTTGTCTCTGATAGGTCTGATCGTCAATATAAAACCAGAACCTCAAGCTGAAGACGTCGATACCAATCAACTTAAGTTTTTGCCTTCGACATTGGAATCTCTTGGAGCTTTTACACCACCGTCAAGATGGGTGTCGCCGGTTGTATCAGAGACGACTCTCCGGTCAACGGCAACGATGGCTTTGCATAGAACAGCTTACCATTTTCAACCTGAAAAGAATTGGATGAATGGTAGGTAATATAGGTTCAGATTATCCATTTCACTTTCTCAAACCTTTTCTTTTGTTAGCTCATAAGAATCACACACACACACACGCACACACTGATCTGAACTAGTCTTTGTTGATTCTCATGGCTGCCTTGCTTCGGGGAAAAAATTTGGTGACTTCTGCTGCAGATCCAAACGGTATGTCCTCGCATAATACCTTTCTACATCATTTTTTTTCAGTAAATAAGTGATTTGATTAAACCGAAGAGAGATATACGTATACCCTATGTGTAACACATACTTACAATAATTATAAGCAAGAAACACAAACAATCAACAACAAAAAGTGGGGGGTTCTTACTTCTTACTCTACCCAAGAATGACTAGCAATTGCAGGTAATCCATGGTAATAAGATGATACTATCTAATCTTTACATGAAATCTGAAAGATAATTACATATACTAGGTTTAGGGTAACTTTTTAGGTGTTTTGGTCAAAGACCTGACCCGTAATCATTAAAAACAGAAATCTTCTCCACTCCAGTACCGAATAATACTATTAAGACATAAAAAACTGATCAATCTTACTGTAGTACATCTTTGCCTATATTACCTTAACAAACGAACATGTTCTAGCACTTGTGATAGAGTATAACTATGTAAAACGAGCAATACCCACAAATCCACAGTGCAAATTTTTTTTTTGTCGCGTAATATGGTTTCTATCTTAGTATCTTAGACAAGAATTGAAGGAAGATCGATTGATCAACGATAATTAAAGCCATAGAGAGTCGCATATATATTCAGGAATCTACTTGATATTGAGTGGCACAAGTGCAGGTAATAAATCTGCATCCCCATGAGCAAAATAAAACTAGGAGGGAAGGATATTCATCCTCTCCAGTGATTTAGGGCAAATCATGCAGATTTTCAGTGGTAAGGATACAAGGAGCTCATTTTCGAATACCCGAAAACATGTGCAGTTCATTCTTTATAGCACATGTTGGAATTGCTCCCAATATTACAAAAGTTAGAAAATAACTCTTTACACCACATTATTGGAATCAAGAGAACTAAACATAAAATAGAAGAAAATAAATGAAGAGATCAGACACTCGATATAGAAAACAATTTTCAAATAATTTGATGCCAACTATAACTACAACTTGAACTCTTCACACACTCCGATCCACTCAACTTTACTTACATAAAATATATACTAGAATGCATCACCTATTTGTATATGTTCTAAACCTAACTTCTAACCTCGTATTAACATACCACTAATGACATATAGACTTCACTCCTCTACTACTTGCTAGATTAGCACGTCACTAATACTCTTGTCTACCACTAGTTCAATATTGATTATCCCCCAACACTTTGTTTCCTTCCACCAAGTGTAACATTAACACACACGACATATAACTCCTAAATCAAGTTTGTTTTGTTGAACACTTCATGATTGAGGAACTTTATAGAATTACTAGTTATTACTCGTGCCTGAAGGTACTATGTAACAAATAATTTTTTTTTTTAAACAATTGTTCAAAGTCAAAAGAAATGACCTAAAAATATTCATACAAATTCTTCTTTTAAAATGACTAAAAATATATTGTCGATTATATCTTCTATATAAATGGAACTGTCATAAAAATATATAAAAACTCTCCAAAATAACACCATATATATAAATGTCTATAAAAAAAAAATTACTAACATAATCCATTAAAATGTACAATCTTTAAACAATAAATTAAATAAACAAAATCTTGTTCATTTATAAGACTCACGAATTATCACCTCTACTACCACTTTATCCAGTAATACAACATAATTATTAACTTAACTACTATATTTCCAATCCACCCTATCTTCATGTAATAAATACTTCAAGCAAAAAAAAATATATATATTAAAAAAATACAATTAAATTCACAATCTTTAAACGGTAAATAAAATCAATCAAATTTTGCTTATTTATAAACTTATGAATTTATCATCACTATTACCATTCAACCCCACATAACACAATATAATTATAAATTTAATCACTAAATGTTCAATCCTCCACATGTAAATATACACAAAAACATACTCACACATTTTTTTTTGGTTACTAACAAACCCTTATAACCAATAATTGCTTTTATTAGAAATATAATAATTTAAGTTTTTAAGGTAAAATAATAATATATTAATATTTAATTAAAAAATAGGGAAAAAAAATTAAAAATCATGGATATTCCCTGAGTTTTAAAAATATTACACGAGCACCTCATGATATTTTATAAATAATACAGAGACCCCTGAGGTTTGTTATTCATTGTAGGAGACCCCCTCTGTCTCCCTTTCATTAGTATTACAAATGAAAATTGATAATTTTATCCTAAAAAATTTTAATATTTTTACATTTGTCCTTCTCCAAATTTAGTACCAAAAAAATTGAAAATTTAATAAAATAAAATAAAATTTGATTTAGTACTCAAAAAATTGATATAATTTAGTATTCCAAAAAATTGATTAAATAAATTTTAATATTAATTTGATATTCGATAAAGTTGAATATAAATTAGAGAAAATTAAGTGTCAATTTTTGATAAAAATATATATTAATTTACAATCTAAGGTTCATTTTATGTTAAATATTATTTGGTGTTTTATAGTTAATGTGCTATTTTTTATTTACATTCAGTGTTATTTACAAATTAAGAAATAAGTGACAAAATACATACGACCAGATATATAAAAATTTTGAATTAGTTTTAAGGAATAAATAATTGGATGACATGTAATTTCATATGTTTTATGTAGTAAATAATAGCAAAAACAACACAAAAGAAAAAAGAAGAAGATAATAGTATGAGAGAGAGAGTGTGTGTAAGATAGATAGATAGATAAAGAGAATTATATGAGANGAGAAAAAAAGAAGAAGAAAATAGTATGAGAGAGAGTGTGTGTGTAGATAGATAGATAGATAAAGAGAATTATATGAGAGACTTAGAGTTTTTTAAAAAATGAAAGTTTAATTAGGAGCATCAGATCAAAACGATCTGAACCTCAAAAATTTAAAGACAAATAATCTAACTACTTTATTATATAGATATAGAGAGGGAGATGAGATGAAATAGTGTATTTAAAACGTCTAAGAGATAAGAGAGAGAGAGAGAGAGAGTTACATGAGAGATGTGAGTATTAGAGTTAAGTTCAATTATGATCGCCAGATTAATA